ATACATCAATTGTAGAGAGATATAGAAATACCACTGCTAAAATAGTGTTCAATACATCAATTGTAGAGCGATATAGAAATATCACTGTTAAAATAGTGCTCAATACCTCAATTGTAGAGTAATATAGAAATACCACTGTTAAAATAGCGCTCAATACATCAATTGTAGAGTGATATAGAAATACCACTGTTAAAATAGTGCTCAATATATCAATTGTAGAGTGATATAGAAATACCACTGTTAAAATAGTGCTCAATATATCAATTGTAGAGCGATATAGAAATACCACTGTTAAAATAGTGCTCAATATATCAATTGTAGAGTGATATAGAAATACCACTGTTAAAATAGTGTTCAATACATCAATTGTAGAGTGATATAGAAATACCACTGTTAAAATAGTACTCAATACATCAATTGTAGAGCTATATAGAAATACCACTGTTAAACTAGTGCTCAATACATCAATTGTAGAGTGATATAGAAATACCACTGTTAAAATAGTGCTCAATATATCAATTGTAGAGTGATATAGAAATACCACTGTTAAAATAGTGCTGAATACATCAATTGTAGAGTGATATAGAAATATCACTGTTAAAATAGTGCTCAATACATCAATTATAGAGTGATATAGAAATACCACTGTTAAAATAGTAATCAATACATCAATTGTAGAGTGATATAGAAATATTAAAATATTGAATCATGTTGTTACTCAGAGTTTCACATTATGCCATCTCCAGACAACTGACCTATTTTCAGCCTGTGTTCCTATTCTTAAAAACAACATGATTCAAGTTCTGTTTCAATATTTCTATTTGCACAATATATAGTAACCTAGACCTACACAGTGCTAATCTTCACAATGTCAAACTATTACAACCTTAACATCAGAAGGCACTTCTCTTGTATCATTATTTGTGATTTTATTAGATTACACACTCAGAGAATCAGAATTTTAGATTTTTGTCAAAGAAACTCTCTACAGTTTATTGTATTAAATCATAGAAAAAGACAGAAAGATTTTTATTAATTGGTTTTTATTTTTGATTTAAAATGATATTTTAGGAGAAGTAGAATGTGGAAATGAGGTTGATAAAGATATGACAGCTAGTGACTTTAAACAGCAACTTAAAGACATGAAACACAAGAGAAAGGTAGGGTTTATGCTGAAATTGAAGATTGCTAGAAATCTCTGCTATATAGTTGATACTGAAATTAATCTCTCCTCTCGGCTCAAATTTACGTACAGCTTCAACGAAACATGGTTTGGACGAGCTGCTTAAAATCTGTGTAATTGACCAAGTCTACAGTGGCTATTGAATCTGATTGGTTGTAAATCCACATCTGTTTTGGTGATTTCAAACATCAATTAAAATAATTCAGTTAATATGACAATATCTTTGAATTTGAACTTTCATTCGAAAAATTTATAGATATTACACTTACAAATAATATTATAAACTGACAAAACTGCTAATTTGTTTCCGAAGTCGTTTGAAACTTGTAGATCAAATATCCTTAATTGTTGTTATCTCCCTTGAAAGAGTCGTAATAGAAATTTGAATGAAAAATCCCAGACTATAACCTTGTCATAGACAGATATAATTTGGGAGTCCGAGATTAATCGAAAGGGCTGTAATATTGTAATATTGTATTTGACAGGAAGTTACGAGATTGTTTAATGCCAGTGTTGATCTCATCGTGAAAAATCCTCACTGGAAATTAAGGTGGGTAGTCTTTATTTTACATCTTGATTTCTCTAATTGACTAGAACTCATATCATATTGTCAATACCCGTGTTTCAGATACACAATCTTCATCAGGACTTTATGTTAACCAATTGACTAGAACACATCTCATACTGCCCACATATTTCAGACATTGATAATACAGGCTTGTGAAAACTAACATGAGCTTACTGTACTCTATTTGGCTGTTTCATTAGAATTAGCCTCAAGAACTACTTCACAGGAGTGAGAAGCCAACTTTGAGAATATTCTCTGCCAAGAGAAGATTGTTAACGTTTTTGTGCCATGACTAAAATTGTGTATATATTGAAGATCCTGAATGTGTCATTCCAAGAACCTCAAATTCATGTCTTTTAATTTTAGAATTTTTATTTAATTGACAAAATTCCGGTTTTTAACGTACGTGTTTGTATTTTAGGGTGTTTAATGATGATGGAGAGAAAGTAGTTAATCCTCACGATGTTTCTACTCTAGAATCTACTGTAGCTTCTAAAGGTCTCGTCTGTCGTTTCAGTCAATCTTTCTATAGAGTTACTTCCACCTTGATCCTCATTGGTGTTGGTAAGTTCTTTCTAACTTTGATTCTCTGTCATTATTAATGTATATTGTTGACAATAATTTGTCATGTTTAAAAGCTCTAGAATCTACCCTAGTCTGTTGTATCAGTCAGCCTTTCTAAAGAGTTACTTCCACCTTGATCCTCGTTGGTGTTGGTAAGTTCTGTTTTTTAAGCAAATATTGTTGTCATCCATGGGTTCTTTTGTATTTTTTATCATCCATATTATTTAATGACAATGTCAGTCTATTATCTAGAATTTATATGTTAAATTAACTGGTATATCATGACCTTTTCTTTTTACTTATTTCAATAACTCATATTAATATCAGGTCATATATCTTCTACTCCACATTGGAAAACTTGTAAATCTGCAATATTCAATCATAAATGAAGGCTCAGTTTGAATTAGAGGATTTTGTAATTAAAAGAAAGAGAGTTAACACCCTTGTTCTTAAGTATCAAAAGTCCTTAAAATATGAGACGTTGTATTTTATGATAATACCCACTATTTTCTATTAAGTTGTTAACTTGTACTGTAGAATTGAGAATATAGTGCCCACCCTTTCTTCCCCTCGAAATGAATGTTGAAAAACCACTGTCTGTCACCATAAATAATGTGTGCAGTACTGATGAGAAACAAGTTGGTATTATTAATAATTTCAGTATGTTGTTTGGTGTATTTTGGTGTCCACTGGTTTCAATACAGATCAGTCAAGTCAGAAGTAGAACAGAGAAAAGTGTTTAAAATGGTAGAAGATATTATTGGTAAATTATTTAACATCAAACTTGTTGAGTTGATTTAATCTTGAATATATGTAAATAGTCTTCAAAAGTACTAGAAATATACACAAAATTCATTTAAAAATACTTCAAACTAGGAATTTTACTTTCTATTTCTATATATGTCTTTTCTATATATCACAGAGTATCTTAAATTGACGACTCATCATTTTAACATTCAAACGCAGATAATTCTGGACACTTATGGATTTGAAAGCTCAAATATGGACGGTGAACTTTGAACATTATTACCGATTAGCTTAGCTAAAAACCTTCCGTCTCTAAGACTAAAGTATGATTGGTGGAACAAAAATGGCCTACCTGTCTCTTTAAGGTGATGCTATTTATTTGTAGATATACTGAGAGAGAATTGTGACAGTAAAGATAACCAGTCATCATATATGGCTGTACAACACGTTAGAGATCAGTTACTATCTCCTTCTAAACGGTTAGTCACCATTTTATTTCTTTATATTTAAATAGATATATTTCAACACCAAATTTCTCTCAAATCTTATGACAAGCTACTACATGTTAAGTATGAAACTGATCTGGTTTCCCTCATTGAACACTGCTTGGCAAACTGCTCCGTATTGTGCACTTTGTAAAGTTCAACGATATTTATCCACAAATCATAGCCCGTTTTAGATAAACCAAAGAAAAATTACCATCATTGCACATATCGATTATCGTCACTAGGAATTTATAATTTCAATCATCGATTATCAAATTTCATAATCAATTATATGATTGTCAAAGTTATATTTTCTCCACTGTACCTGTTAACAAGTAGTAATCTCTTCTACATAGTTTCCCTTCAGCGCATAACATACCCACAATAAACTATAATAACCGATCAAAACAAGAATATACTTCTATAACGCAAAAATTACCCATGAAATTAAGAATTTTGGCATTATTTCGATTATTGATCAATAGTCTGCCATCGATAATCGATCTTAATTTGGTAATCGATACCCAGCCCTATTTGCTCACATTTCAATATCTCCTATTTCAGCCATGAACTACAGCCAATTTGGGATAAAGCTGTGAGGTTTATTGAAGCCAATGAATCTAGAATCAGACTGGAGTCTCAAATAATCCAGGGAGAGGAATTCGAAGTGTGGAAGTGGATTCATGTGAGTTAGGATTTTAATTATTATATTTCTAACGTCAACAATCTAAAATTAGACCTGTTTGACACAGATCTGTCAGATTCCAAGATATTTTACATCCTGTGCATTTATACTTTGTTTAGATTTTGGAAATTTTTCAATGTTAACCAATAAATGGGGCAGAATGACTTTATGGATGGGAGAAGAGGGGAAAAATGACAAATTTGGGAAAAATATTTAACAACTATCATACATCGTTCTCAATGTCTCAGATATGACATCTCAGATAAAGATTGGTAGATTTTGAAAGAATTAGTGGTAAGGTTTCTCTGTTTTTGTGAGCTGTTGACATGTGTCTATGATTAAGATTAATATTGTGAAATTATTTGTATTTTGTAGAGTGTACCCAATGGAGCAAAAGTTTGGCAGGGACAAGGTAGGTCAATTGTTCTAATAAAATAAATCCATACAGGAAGAAAGAGTATTTTCCTGTTACCTTATTTGGCAAATATAATGAGTTTTATGCTCAACATTTCTATTTCTGATTGGTTTAATGTGTAATAGACAACACTTAGAAGTTTGCACCAGAACAACAGCATAAGTCTTCTTGTTTCTATGAATAATGAGAAATAACTAAAGTAACACCTGTTCTGTAGAAAAAACAACATGGCAGCCATGATATTTACACAAAGCCACAATTATTCTGTTAATAAAGAACCCCGGATGGAATAGAAATTGATTTAAATAAACCACTGATGGAATAGAAATTGATTTAAATGAACCACTGATGGAATAGAAATTGATTTAAATGAACCACTAATGGAATAGAAATCGATTTAAATGAACCACTAATGGAATAGAAATTGATTTAAATGAACCACTGATGGAATAGAAATTGATTTAAATGAACCACTAATGGAATAGAAATTGATTTAAATGAACCACTGATGGAATAGAAATTGATTTAAATGAACCACTGATGGAATAGAAATTGATTTAAATGAACCACTGATGGAATAGAAATTGATTTAAATGAACCTGATGGAATAGAAATTGATTTAAATGAACCACTGATGGAATAGAAATTGATTTAAATGAACCACTGATGGAATAGAAATTGATTTAAATGAACCTGATGGAATAGAAATTGATTTAAATGAACCACTGATGGAATAGAAATTGATTTAAATGAACCACTGATGGAATAGAAATTGATTTAAATGAACCACTGATGGAATAGAATTTGATTTAAATGAGATGATTTAGAATTCTCTTATTTTGAGATAGATATGAAATGAAACAGAAGACATATTTGTCTGCAAATTCAGTGTTTGAGTTAAATTGTGTACTGCACTGGTGAAAAAAACAAAATGGCTACCATGATATTTTAACCAAGCCACTAGGAATAATAATACTATCTGATAATCTGTATCTTTCAGCGTTTGGTGAGCATAATGATACAGCTACTAGTTCTTTACGATATAGTCCTACTCCGTGTTTAAAAGTTAAAAACATGTTTGACACTGCTGTGTAAGTATAAGATTTGTTTATATTACACGGATTGTAAAGAGGTTTTCTAAACTTTTGTCTTCTGTATCATTCCAGTCAAATGTCTGTTGTTCGTGTAATATTGATAAGCTTAACTGGATATGACATCACAAGCTATTTTATGAGATATAAATGTCTGATATATAACTAGGTTGATGTGACTAAAGGTTATAATAATCTATGTTTTTATAGAGAAAGTGATCAGGAATGGTATGAAAGTGTAGAAAATGCTATTCTAGAGAAAACAGAAGATATAGCTGATATTGTTCATATATATGTTGATGATGAATCTAAAGAGGTAGGTAAATAGATTATCTTTAGTGATAAAATATCCTTCAGATTCTTAACCAAATCCTCCTATCTGATTGAAAGTTTACATCTACCTCTGTTATTTAACTTCATGTCAGTTTTTTTGCCATGTTGTTCTGTGATTAATAATAGATTTGAGAGGTTGAAGGAGGGGGTGAAACAAGATGACTAAAAGCATAGATTTTCTTACAAGACCTGTGGTAGTTCAGTGAGTTTGCCAGTCAGGGTTTATAAGTCGAGATAAGCCTGAATATCTCTCAACTAAACTTCCCTATATCAGTAATGCAGTGTTATGCTATGTTAATTAATACTTTGTTAATTAATACTATGTTAATTAATACTATGTATGTTAATTAATACTATGTTAATTAATACTATGTATGTTAATTAATACTATGTTAATTATTACTATGTTAATTAATATTATGTTAATTAATATTATAATTAATATTACAGGGTTGTGTTTATATTAAATGTAGCAGTAGAGAAGCAGCAGGGAAAGCTCGGCAATGTCTACATGGATGGTGGTTTGACGGTAAGATATTATCATTCTTCTTCAAGTTTCTCATCTTTTACAGATAATTTCTCTTTTGAAACAGTTTTTTCTTTTTTGGAATCATGTTTTCTGTTTAACACATGGTGCAGAAGTAGGACGTAAAACTCCATTCATTTCTACTTGTTATAGAAGATCATCAAGAACAAAGTTAAGGGACTATAAGAGATTATTTTTTGGTTTTTAACATAACTTCATTATATTTCTGTGCGTATTCCAGTGATATTGATAAATACATCGGAATATAGGGCTCAAGCATTTAATGAAATAATTTTTCACGAAAATACTGGGATAAAAGTACCAAATTGAGTGCCTACGAAAAAATACGAAAATCTTTATCCAATTTATTTTTATGTATTTTAGGTCGGTTGATTACGGCCCGATATTTAAGATTAGAACATTACCATAAACAGTTTCCCGAATCAGTGAAAGCCGTACGTCCTCTACGATTTCATAAACAACAGCAGAAACCATCTTCATTGAGTCAACCTTATTACCGCTCTACACTCGAAATGACGTAATTTACAGTCTGAGATACGAGATGTAATAGGTCTGAAACCTTGAAATAACAATGATACAAAAACTCGTTGTAAAATCAAGTGTGAAATAAACATTATTAGCTATGTGGACTCTCAGAAAGGAATGTTAAACAGGATTGAACAATATTTTCCTTGTGAACACTCTGAAAGTGATTGCAAATTGATAAGCCAAATTATTAGCTATGTGGACTCTCTAAATGAATGCCAATTTGAAAAGCCTAAATACCGAATAAACATTATTAGCTATGTGAACCCTCTCAATGAGTTGACAAACCTAAATACCGAATAAACATTATTAGCTATGTGAACCCTCTCAATGAGTTGACAAACCTAAATACCAAATATACATTATAGTAATGTGTATCCTATTAAAGAGATGATGTATTGGTAACCCAGCTGAGCTATGTCCAGTCACCCAAAATACTGTATTATTTTCTCAAATGGTCAAAATTGTAAGAAATACAGCAATTTGATTGGTTTGATTAAGTTGAATTTAAAATATACTAAAGACAGCCACCATAGAAGAGAGTACAGTAATTAAGACAAGAAAATGGAAATTACAAATGTGAATTCTTGAAGTTTATAAATTTTTATTGAAGTAATTTGAAAGTTAAATTTGTATATAAATCATTAAACCATTTTGTCATAAGAAAATTTTTAATTTTCAAAAATAGGTTTTTAGTTTTGAGATTTTTAAGTTGTAAAAATCCTTCAATAACTTATTAAGAAGATTGAATTGGCAGGGTTGGAATCCACAGAGAATTATCATGGCTGGGAATTATATTAGACTTGGTTGATAGAACAGGAAAGTAAAGTAGTTATAATACTGTCATTTGCTATGTTAATTGTTGACTCTCAGTAAAATCAAGTCGTTTGTCAGAAAGGTTGTTAATTAATAACGAATGACAGAAATTATTAAGTTATTAACTAGAGAAAATCAGCTTGACCTTCTGTTCATTTGTCTCCATAAATATAAACATTTTGATAGTGTTATTTATCTACTTGTAGGTCATTTAAAAAAATTATCTTGCCATATTTCTTACTTCGTTCTGTCTCTAAATAACTGTTAAAGAGACAGGTAGGCCATTTTTTGACCAATCATACTTTAGTCTCAGAAACAGGAATATTATGAATTTAGTAATAGTGTTCACAAAATTTGAGCCTTCAAATCCATGTGTCTCAAGAATTATCTGCATTTGAACGTTTAAAAGATGAGTTTTATTCTGTAAGAGAAAACTTATTAATACTCATGTTCTGGACATTATTTTTATTAACAATCTCACTTAAAAATAGATCAATTAAAAACTTCAGCAATTAAAATAAGTTGGGAGAAAACTAACTGGCTATTGGCACCATGCATGTTCTCTATGTACAGATAAGACACGCTAGTTTTTGGGGGTTTGTATTAAAGCGTGAAGCCATTTTGATCGTCAAGAATGATATTAAGTGACTTTGTTAGGGTTAGGGAGGGATGTCCATATCTTTCAATGACCATTTTTGTACCATCGCGGTACGAATAACCATGGCCTAAATATAAATATTTTTATTGTAAAGGAAAGTTATGATTAATCTCGGTGATTAGATGTTGTCTATCATGTTAGTTTTTTTTATTTTTGTAAACCACAATCAACTAAATATTATTTTTAACTGCTACCTTGTATCTTATATGGTTGTCCAGAGATATAATGTGTTTTGGTTCAATTGTATAATGACTTGTATAGCATAAAGGTTAGGTCTGTGTGAGTGAAACAGCTTTAAGGTCAAATGTCAAATATTCGTTTAATATTTCTTGTGATTACCATGGTTACAGGGTCAATGTTGTGAATTTCGATTAATATTGGGTTTCTCTAGTACTTGCTACTTTAAAATATCATGGAAATGGAGAAAAATTGTCAAGGCAATGTTCCCATCAACGACCTTCACCTTGACCCCATGTAAAAAGAACAGGAATTTTGAATATCATTATGTAACACTCACATCTTTGTTCATGATGTTCAAAGTTGTTCAACAAAAGCTATAAGTAGTAGTAAAAAGTAGTAAATATAATTTTCATGGCAGGTAGCTAGGGGATCTGTGGTTGACCAGAACTCATTTCATGCTGCCAACACAAACCTATAAAAATCCTCATTAGAATGGATTTCAAAATGGAGGTTTACAATGTTAACAGGATTCTTATATGATTTACTAGAGCACATCTCATGCTACCAACACGTTTTAGATACAAAATCCTCATCAGGACTTAATGTTAGCTAATTGACCAGAGCTCATCTCATGTTGCCAATATGTGTTTCAGATACACAATCCTCATCAGGACAGCTAGTGTTCGAAATGTTTATTAACTTATTGATTAAAGCTCATCTCATGCTGCCAACACACGTTTCAGATACAAAATCCTCATCAGGACAGCTAGTGTTTGAATCGTTTCAACTCGTAACTTATTGATCTCATCTCATGCTGCCAAGACACGTTTCAGATACATGATCCTCATCAGGACAGCTAGTTTTGCAAATTGGGGTTATCTATTTGATATGAAACTGACATATGAAAATAAGATGATAATATAATAAGAAATAGAATAAGTTTTGTTGTTGTATTCTGTAGAACTTGTAAAAATTCTCTAGCGTTATTTTTTCATTTCAATTTATGTTCATCATTATTACATTTTTCGATTAAATTTTGTCATCATCATTTTATAGTGTTTCTTTTAATGGAGTTATACATACTCTCCATTTATAGCTCAATAGCTGGGAATTGGAATGTCGTCTTTCAAGGATTAGCCGCTGTTGGTTTCAAAATTAATTCTGAAGTCACTGCCAGTGGTTCTGGAGGTTGACCTGGTTTCGGCCATCAACCTGTATCACCAAACAGTACGTGATTGGCTAACAAGGATTTCAGCATACAGTGTTCAAAAGAAAACATTTTTGACTGCATCAGAATTAGCCTTAACCGACAATTTGATGTGGACCACACAGGCTCATGGACTGAGGTGTGCAATGATGAAATATCCTTGTGATGTAAATTGTAGGTGTACCCTCAGAGAGTAGCTTCTGTTCATCCATGTCCATAATACTGTCTTAAATGACTATTTAGAGGGACAACTCAGAAATATTTAACCCTTTGAACCCTGAGAGTAAATGAAATATACCGTCACATACCCTGAACTCCCAAGTAAGATAAGTAAAAAGGTATGATGTTAACGTTGTATGACGTCACTAAGTAACGGCCAGTATACCGACTGCTCGGGAATATATTGTGTTAGTGTTTGGCCGGTTAACCGGCCACTAGGGTTGAAAGGGTAAAATTGAAATTCCGTATTCCCTTGTCAGTCAGCAAACTAATTAAACTTCAACATTGACAATAATCACCCATCTCATTTTATAGATTTTAAATTAAAAAACTATCTCAGATCATTGGCACCATCTTTATTTCTTTAAAACAAAAAAAAAAACAATTCAAGTTTAATTTATATCACTGTTGATTAAATGAAAACTGGCTTCTTTTCAAGTAGGCCTAAAAGATTTGCATCATGTATTTCAGCAAGTAATTGGGCTAGTAAAGACTGGCAACTGGTTTAAACAGTACGATTTGGAATTTATGTACCTTATAAGACATGCTGTGAGCAATAAGGAAAACTATGTGTTAAATTGGAAAGTGGTACAAAAAAGTACCATCCAATAATTGTTTGTTAAACATTGCTCTGAAGCTGTCATTTATTTGTTGTGTTGAGTGAATAATGCTGACTTCAATAAAATCAGATGGATCTCGGTTCATTCTTTTATTTTGAAGATAGAATAAAAGTTTGAATATTAAGGTGAAGCCAAGTTTTCATTCATTCAACAGTTATAAAATAAACCCAATAGAAATAGCACTATTTATATAATATAACTGAAGGTTAGAATATTAGAATTGTATTCAGCTCCATTATAATAATTACTGTGTTGGATCTCTCTCCATCTTCACAATCTTCAAGCTATTACAAACTAAGTACTTATACCTTGACTGCAATAGCCACCTCTCTTGTATCACAGAATGCAGCAATTTGATTAGATTGTTCGTTAGCTAATACAGTCAGAGTCGTCAACAGAAGAATTTGAACAAGAAGCCTTTCTGTCGAAGTCTCTGATTGGCTGTATTCACTAGCGTACAATCCAATCAAATCACTGCATTCTATAATACAAGAAAGTCAAGGTATAAGATGAAGTTGGTAATAGCTTGACATTGTGAAGATGGTTTCTCTAAATAGGAAAGGCATGTTCTCTCTTCTAGAACACCTGACACCACTTAGCTACTCTATTCATTCATAATCTAAATGTTTTTACAATATTATGATCATTCCTTCATTCTGCAAAATATCTTCATGCAATACATCTGGATATACATGGAAATATCAAAACAGAAACTGAAACATGTTACTCAGAGTAACACCGTTTGCGATATTCTGAGTAAATAAAAAGTTCTGTTTGAAAATTAACAATAATCAGATCATAAACTCCAGAAAACACAGAAATTGACACTATAAAATAATAAATACTGACATTGTAATAACATTAAGAGATTGTGCCTGTTGAAATTTAGCAGAAGAAATCAAGGGCAAATTAATTAGAAAAAAACTTGAAGCATTTTCTTAAAGAAATTCTTCATATCAAAAAGAAAGAACATCATCATTATGTTAGTTTTTCAATTGAAGCAGAAGCTAAGCCAATCAGTTATAGTGTTCACAGTTCACCGTCGAAATTTCAGCCTTCAAATCCATAATTATTCACGTTTGAATGTTGAAATGACGACTCGTCAATTTAAGATACTATAAAAAAAATATGTATAGAAATTGTGGAGCACCTGTTCCTTTATGTAAATGTTTGAAAATGGAGCCATTTTTCTACTCATTTCCAAATTTGAGTCATTTTAAAATTGTATTTAATGTCATGGTTTCGCTACGTCTCCCTGGAACCTAAATTTAATCTACCAATATTCGGGCTTGATAATAATCTGGATAATCAAATAGAAACATCAGTTAAACCACTTTTGAGGTCTCTTTCTACAAGCTGATATACAAATAAACACAGTGACCACTAAAATCTTACTGAATCTCATTAATTTGCCCTTAATTTCAATTTCACTGTTTTCATTCTTCATTATAATTCTATCATCAAAAACAATTATCTTTCCTTCAAATTAACAACCAAATCTGCCAAAATATATACATGAGTCCTCTAGAAGATATGTAACACTATGATATTTTGTCAGAATTAGTTGTGAAAGTAAAGAAATAAGTAATTAATCTCACGGAGATAATACTGGTCTATTTTCACGATACATTCAGCGAGCGTTTGACAGCTTTAATTACGTTAAATGGTTGAGGTAAGGCTAAAGCTTCCAGGGATTTAGCGTAGGGCATCGGAACATCAGCCCCTGTCACTCGTAATATTGGTGCGTCTAGGTAATTGAAGGCTGAACCTAAAAAAAGATAAAATGTTTTATGTTATATTGCTCTATTTGGTTTGTAAATGAAATGTTTTTTACTCCTTACTAAATCTAGTTCTGAGTTGAAGTGAAGAGGATAATAAAAAATACTGTTATCTTATGGTTGATAATATATGATTTAAAATTAATTATAGTGACTTGTTAATCAAGTCAACAAATTCAGTACTCTGATTGGATAAATGAATTTAAAATGGTTTTTGACTAATCGTATGGACTGGAAGATTAAGATAAACTGATTCTCAAGAACCTATGTCGGGTTGAATCATAATCATTGTTAAGTCACAATCTAAATGATAAAACGATAAATCAGATGAAACTAATCAAAAATATTCTGATACATACTTTCAGCTACAAGAGCCGATATCTCCGCCCCAACACCATACTGTGGCCATCCACCATCTACTGTTACGACGTGACCTGTTTTCTGGACTGATTTAATAATAGTTTCTTCATCGAGAGGTCGTAACGAGCGTAGATTAACTACCTATAAATAGATCAATCGTTTTAATACAACAATTTACGTAATGTTATCATCGGTAATGACTAGAAAGGAAATCTGAATTAATGGCATAACATTATTTTGTCAGGTATTTCTTCAATAACATATAAACCAAACATCAGATTCTAATCCTTAAAAAGTGTCACAGATAGCTGAAATTTAATATTTGTAAAATAATGCCTTCTTAATCAATAAAAGAAATGAAACCTACTTCACATTCGATGCCTTTACCAGCTAATTCCTCCGCTGCATCTAAACATACTCCAACATAACGAGAATGTGTGATAAGAGATATATGGTCTCCTGAAAAAAATAATATTAAAGGAATTCTATAGGACTATAAACTCAGGGACTTAAAGTTCTTTGGATCCAAAAGGTAAAGGTTTATAAACAAAAATGCCCGAACCTAGCTTTTATACATGAACCCAAAAGCATATTGTTTTGGCAGTGGACTCCATCTAGATTTAAAATCAAAGCTTTACAGACAAGGAGTCAAGAAATGAATGGAGTTTGTGTCTTACCTTCACGTTCTATTTTAGCTTTACCAATCGGCAGTACGAAATCATCAGAGAGAGCTTCATCAGACATTTCAAAGGGTACACCATATAATATCTCATTCTCTAGACAGATCACTGGAATATATACATTTATAGATATTATAACAGGTTCCTTCATTCATTCTAGATCTCACAACAAATTATGTTCAGTCAAACTTTGGGGGATGGTGGTTGAAAGGTAAGAAGTTAATATTCAACAGAAGGAACTGGTAAAGGGTTAAACGGTGTTCAATAATTGTAGAAGAAATGAGGGTGGTTGAAAGATAACAAGTTATATTGCAAATATAACATATCATGATGAGGTCATATATAAATACAAACCTTCATGATGAAGCCATATATAAATACAAACCTTCATGATGAGGCCATATATAAATACAAACCTTCATGATGAAGTCATATATAAATACAAACCTTCATGATGAAGCCATATATAAATACAAACCTTCATGATGAAGCCATATATAAATACAAACCTTCATGATGAAGCCATATATAAATACAAACCTTCATGATGAAGTCATATATAAATACAAACCTTCATGATGAAGCCATATATAAATACAAACCTTCATGATGAAGTCATATATAAATACAAACCTTCATGATGAAGTCATATATAAATACAAACCTTCATGATGAAGCCATATATAAATACAAACCTTCATGATGAAGTCATATATAAATACAAACCTTCATGATGAGGCCATATATAAATACAAACCTTCATGATGAAGCCATATATAAATACAAACCTTCATGATGAAGTCATATATAAATACAAACCTTCATGATGAGGCCATATATAAATACAAACCTTCATGATGAAGTCATATATAAATACAAACCTTCATGATGAGGTCATATATAAATACAAACCTTCATGATGAAGCCATATATAAATACAAACCTGGATTAGGATCTCTGATAGCAGCTTTCAATAAACCTTTAGCATCTTCGGAACTATAAGGGGAGACAACCTTCAAGCCTGGACAGTGAGCGTACCAGGCACCAAAACATTGTGAATGTTGAGCAGCTACCCCGGCCGCAGCACCATTGGGTCCCCGAAATACAATATTGACAGGTACCTACAAATTAAACAATGAGGAGTCTGTAATTGGTGTTTAAGATGAAATGGATTTTGAGAAAGGTATTTTTCGGCTTCTTTCAAATGTACAGGCCTTGGATGAAAGAAATATTACATATAGAAATTTAAACAAGAGCTATTTGGTGGCTCCAATTGGCTTGATGCTTTTTGTCCTGGTCTATCGTCCCATTTCAAGTACTACACACTTTTTGGAGGACTAATAAAAAGAAACTTTACATTGTACTGTAACATAACTCGATGAGTCAAGTCCCCTATAATAAAGGAAATTTGACCCCTCAAAAATATTAAATAAAATATCAGACTCACTTTTCCAGCTGACATGTAGTAAGTTTTAGCAGCTGAATTTATAACCTGAAATATTCAATTTTATATTTATATCTATATCAGTATAAAATATACTACAGAAGTTAAATTCTGATCAGGGTTTCCAGAGTTACAGGAACCACAGACATCTGATAGAGATCAAAATGATGTAAAGAAATAATATATGTTATAAGTGTTACAATACACATAGATCTATGGTTAGAAATCTTGTTGTAAATTCAGTGTAATATGGAGGAAATAGATAATAAAATTGTAAAAATGACCCTACCTGATCTATAGCTTGCATGGAGAAATTGAAGGTCATGAACTCTACTATTGGTTTTAATCCAGCCTACAATTAATGAATATTTTTAGTTTTTAACAGTCTTATGATTAAAAGTGGTCTGTATTGAGTACCTAATCTAAAGTTTTTTAAGTTATAAAGATACTTTGAGTGTTCCAGTCGTATGATTGTTAGGTCACTAATATCAATTTCAAATCAAAAAAATGAAATGAATGGAGTTTTATATCCTACTTTTCTGCACAATTTTAAATCAGATTAACACATTTTGTAACCTGTGAAGAAGGTCTAGTTTTTTTCCTGAAACTACCAACTTACATACGCTTATACATGTAAGAGAAACATTTTAATTTTGTAATTTCATTTAGGATGGTTAATTTAGTTTACTTACCATAGCAGCACCGACAGCTAGACCAGCGAAACCCATCTCTGTTATTGGTGTATCTATCACTCTCTTATCTCCATACTTATTCAATAATCCTTTAGATACCTACAATTAATATTACAGCTTGATCAAATCTAGCTTAAATAATCAAGAAAAAAACAGAGAACCAAGGATAATAACTTCATAAGGATCCTGTCTACCTGCTGGTGCTTGAGCAATGATCTTTCTTTGATTATACCTACTCATTTACAGCTGGAGTGACTTGACTTTTGAGCACAGATGACCTATTCAAGATCACCAGTCTTTATAAGCCAAACAAGATTATCGCTCATCACCACCATTGGTTGGGGATACCAACTGAATACTTTCAGCATTATAAAGACAATTGAAATATGAAGTGAGAGAAGACTAACCTTGTACGCCCCGTCATATTGAGCTACCTCTTCCCCCATTAAAAACACCTTCTCATCCCTCTTGAGTTCCTCATCTAGGGCTGAATTCAGGGCATCTCTTACTGTCATCTATAACATTCAATTAAAATCAATTAGATAAGCTTAATATTGATTTGAGAAGTGCTCAACTCATGCTGATAAAACATGTTGATGATACACGATGTCAGGCCCCAGGCTCCAAAACATTTTTTTACAATAATTTTTACTAGATGTACTAAATGCTAAATGAAAAAAGTGGATTTTTAAATCGAGAAATACGATACTTACAACAAAATTGATTTTAAGATTTACTGTGAAACCGGACAGTAATCTGTACAGTTAATGTTGGCTACAGGCGTACAGAGGCTAATTCACAAGTCACAAATAATTCTCAAAAAATGGATGCCAGTGAACAAGTCAAGGTCAAAAGAGGCAATAAGTCTAAGATAAAGTAAAATGGAATTCTTTATGTCAGATACTGTGTTAGAAGGATAGACTACTCGTCAGTCTAATAATCAGTTTAAAACGCTGGGCTTTCCCAATTAACCGGTGAAAACTACCTATCTTCAACTAAAACTGTCCAAAAAAAGTGCAAAATATTACCTGTGTGCCGCATCGAGCAGACGAAACACTGAAGTTTCGTTTCAGCGACGACCATACTGGTTCCTGAAACATGAGACAAAAGTTCATTATAATATCTAATGACAAATACGAAATTCTTAGGTTTGATGATAAATCAATAAGTTTATTAAAACTTAAAATACAACCTTCAAAATCCTTCTCGCTGAAATCGCTGCCATTTTGTTGGTGTCAATTTGAGAGTTATTCCCCTTCAATAATTTGTTAACTTGAATTTATTAAAGCTAACGTGAAGATACGAAAAGTGAAATCGATTTAATTTCATGACCCTCTCATTCACATCCTCGTGGAAAATATAAACATAACTGCAATTTTTTTGAGAATACGGATGTGATAGCCTTTTTAGGATCTCATGGTATTTCAACATTTATGTTTAGGAATTTGCTCAATCTTTATCAATAATTGATAGAATTACAGAACCACGGAAGTAGGGCGGGGAGACAGAATGGATTAAATGGGAGCTATAGGTGTCAAAATTTGAAATTGGTATGCATATCAGTCTTTGATTCATATGATTACGGTTTTGTACTAGAAAGTTTATTGGGTACGAAATATGTAACCGGGTTACGTTATGGTAGAAGAGTGATGTTTATAGTGGGTACAAACTGGTAATTTGTTGAAGCGAGTTGCTTCTGTAAAAGGACAGGTGTAGGAAAGAATTAAAATCCTCAAGCTTATATGTCGGATGCAGAATTTTCTGCAGATTTTAGCATCGATTTCGTTGCATTGTGGATTAGATATTCCTAACTTTTGATTGATCTGACAGTTTTTGGAATTGTCAAATTTGTTTTCGTGCGTCGTCTGATCAAAACAGGTGGAGTAAATGTGATAAAAGGAGTGTCCATATTCGATTGTTTACATTGCAATTCGCCCTGTGAAACTGGTCTTCTGAATACCAACTAAGATGAATTGAAGATAGATTAATAAAACTATAGTGGAGAGTAAAATGTCGGCCAGTTTTCTACATATTGGAGATATTGTCTCTCTGTATGCTGAAGGCAGTGTTAATGGATTTATTTCCACTTTGGGGTAAGTTCTGTTTTCATTAGATGTAGGCCTAGTAGATCTGAATTGCTTGAAGGTGAAAAAATATAGTAACGTGGAACAGGTTTATCCCTTGATGGGATGGTTGATGCATAGTTAACATCCATTACCATATAATTGATTTCATCATATTTTGACAGAGTTGTTAACACCTGCATAAGAGCAATTCGATAAAATACTTTATGGGGTATTCTGCATTTGGCATACTTACTATCCAGGTGCTACTGATATGGTATTAAATTCTATGGTGTGGCTTGTAAATAAAATATTGTATGGAAACTATGAAGTCTCCTTGTTAATCATTATTGTCTTGATAGCAAGTGAAGATGAAAAAAAAAAAAAGGATGTGAAAGGACTGCAAAAAACTGATAGGGCAAGTTCCGTTGGCGTTGGTTTGATTCCTTTGTATTGCTAACGAGAGAGACTGATTGGTCTACATTATGTCTTATAAACAGAATATTGAAACTATCAAGGTTCATGTTAACGTGTTTTTCACAGGTTATATCAGATGGAAATAATTAACTCCAAGCCATGTGTTTAGTAAAACTTACATAATACTCTTTTATTACTTAAGTTATATAATATAATATACTACAGTCTAGGAGATATTAGATTTTGACATGGTTCTCTGGCCCTGAATATAGGCACACATGTACCGTACCAAAGGGCTAAGAGGAATATCTAAACCTATAGCAATGTATTTACTAAAACAGACTTTACTTATAAAGTTCTATTACCAGTATTTAAAATACATGTAAAGCTTATTATATCAAGCCAGTTCCTAGAGTCTAGGAGATACACGAATTTGACAAAGATTTTTGCCCAGAATGTAATGACCTAACATCAAGAAAATCAACAATAATCCATAGTATATATAAAATACAAGTTGTATATATCAAGCCAGTTCCTAGAGTCTAGGTGATATGAGAATTTGACAAAGTTTTTTTTCCCTGAATATAATGACCTTAAATATATATGATATATGAATCCCCTGCGTCCAATCAACAATAATCTATCATAAATGTTTCGCTAGTATATGGAATACAAGTTATATTCAGATTATCCCTAGAGTTATTTTAACTTATTGCTACAAGTACTAAAGCAGTGATAATAACCTGAGAGATTTACTTTTCTGATTAATAAATAGCCAGTACCTGATTAGAAATATCAATTTACATGGTTTTTTACTTTCCATTGAAATATAATCACTATAATACTACCAGGGTTAGGGATTGTTTTGGAGCTAATGAAAAAATAATTATTTGAAAATGAATTTTATAGAAAAATAATTTTTAGTACAAAATATGGGTCATATTCATAGGGAAATATCTGTGAGGAAATGTGTTCAATTATTAAACCTAAAATTTCTTTCTAAATGTAATTGATAATTTCTTGTTATAGAACTGTAGCTTACTGGAGGCTGCCTATTTATATAATACTACCATACCTGTTCTTAAAGATGGGTTCCCTTATTTTCATTTATGAAAATGACTTGGAAAAATGATTATTTGACACTAAAAAATAAGGAAACCCATCTTTAATTAAACACATTATTTTATTTTATTATATATAATGAAATAGTTACTATATTGTTAAATAGTACATTACTTTTCTATTATAAGCTTACTGATATACAGTAGTTAGTTTATATTATGTTTAGGAACATCAGCATGTAGCCTGATGTTGATACTGGTTATAATAATAGGACTGGCTGACAACTTCTAACTAATTGACAACTTAATTAAAAACATCATTTTACTCTACTTCTAATTGTTATTCTAAATAAACAAGACAGACAGACAGGTGGAGTTATTCCAACACTCAGGTTTAAATCTCTTGTCCGTCCTCAAAGGTATAGATCTGCTCAAAGATGCTAATAGACATTTGTTATAAATATTAATTTTGCAGTGGCACCTTAATTGGGTCAAGAGTTTCAGGAATTACTGCATTCACAGATCTTTGACAAGAAATCCAATGATGTTAGTAGAAAGTAGCTATAAGTGTCCATGATACACAGACTAGAAATCTCTTTTGATTAAATACCTTCAACTTTGAAGGCACAATGGATAGGACTGGATAAAACGATCACAAATAATCAATAATCATCGCTACAAATGCATAATTTCAATTGTCAAAGTTATATTTTCTCCACTGTACCTGTTAACAAGTAGTAATCTCTTCTACATAGTTTCCCTTCAATACATAACTTACCCACAATAAACTATAATAACCGATCAAAACAAGAATATACTTCTATAACGCAAAAATTACCCATGAAATTTTTCATAATCGATTATAAGTCAAAGTTATATTTTCTCCATTGTACCTGTTAACAAGTAGTAATCTATTCTACATAGTTTCCCTTCAGCACATAACTTACCCACAATAAACTATAATAACCGATCAAAACAAGAATATACTTCTATCATGCAGAAATAACGGATGAAATAAAATAATTTTTTTTAAAGCAGACTGGTTTCTGGAATGGGTCGCTAGCTGAAGAAGGTTGGCAACCTCGAGTCTAAATGAACTGTCCTGAAGAAAGTAGAAGTGGTCTGATATAAACTATATTGTCTATTTCAGGTTGGTGGATGACCGTTGTGTCGTACAGCCAGATGCAGGAGATCTCAATAATCCACCCAAAAAATTCAGAGGTAAATATTTATTAATAGCTTCCCATTATTATGTTTTAAACTATTTGTACATGTCTGAATTGGGTGTGGCAAGCAAGACTTTCACTAACTTTTCTTAAACCCCTGATTGATCTGGTTGTATCTCATGATTTTTATACCATTATAGTAGTGACAGGTGTCTTGTGCTGCAGACTATGCTTACTCTTTTCGAAACACCTGATGGTACTTCTCTTTGAAGGAGTCCACTACTATACAACTTTTAATCTCAATTTTGCCATACTTTTTATTCACTGCACTCTCCATTTCATTTCATTTTCCATTTCAAAATGAAGGCTTTCTTAGCATCCCCCCTGAACTAGTATATTTATTTCTATAAAGTTATAAGAATTTATGATCATAAAATGGAAAGTAGAGATAAAATTATAAAAATGATAAGAAAGTCAAAGTTTGTTTGAGGTCAAGTTGAAATTAAACAAACTCCCAAATTTAACAGTCAACAAATCTTAAAGGGAAATAGTAATCTAAATATTGACTGATAAAGCTCAATTTCAGCTATCTATAGCTCTATCAGCTGGTAAAGTTAATATTTAGATGACTAAACAGATAGCTGATATTGAGTTCTATCAGCTGGTAAAGTTAATATTTAGATGACTATACAGATAGCTGAAATTGAGCTCTATCAGCTGGTAAAGTTAATATTTAGATGACTATACAGATAGCTGAAATTGAGCTCTATCAGCTGGTAAAGTTAATATTTAGATGACAATACAGATAACTGTAATTGAGCTCTATCAGCTGGTAAAGTAAATATTTAGATGACTATACAGATAGCTGAAATTGAGCTCTATCAGCTGGTAAAGTAAATATTTAGATGTCTATACAGATAGCTGAAATTGAGCTCTATCAGCTGGTAAAGTTAATATTAAGATGACTATACAGATAGCTGAAATTGAGCTCTATCAGCTGGTAAAGTAAATATTTAGATGACTATACAGATAGCTGAAATTGAGCTCTATCAGCTGGTAAAGTAAATATTTAGATGACTAAACAGATAGCTGAAATTGAGTTCTATCAGCTGGTAAAGTAAATATTTAGATGACTAAACAGATAGCTGAAATTGAGCTCTATCAGCTGGTAAAGTAAATATTTAGATGACTATACAGATAGCTGAAATTGAGTTCTATCAGCTGGTAAAGTAAATATTAAGATGACTAAACAGATCACTGAAAATGAGCTCTATCATCTGGTAAAGTAAATATTAAGATGACTAAACAGATCACTGAAACTGAGCTTTATCAGCTGGTAAATTTAACATTTAAATGACTAAACAGATAGCTGAAATTGAGCTCTATCAACTGGTAAAGTAAATATTTAGATGACTAAACAGATAGCTGAAATTGAGCTCTATCAGCTGGTAAAGTAAATATTTAGATGACTAAACAGATAGCTGAAATTGAGTTCTATCAGCTGGTAAAGTAAATATTTAGATGACTAAACAGATAGCTGAAATTGAGCTCTATCAGCTGGTAAAGTAAATATTTAGATGACTAAACAGATAGCTGAAATTGAGTTCTATCAGCTGGTAAAGTAAATATTTAGATGACTAAACAGATAGCTGAAATTGAGCTCTATCAGCTGGTAAAGTAAATATTTAGATGACTCTACAGATAGCTGAAATTGAGCTCTATCAGCTGGTAAAGTAAATATTTAGATGACTATACAGATAGCTGAAATTGAGCTCTATCAGCTGGTAAAGTTAATATTTAGATGACTATACAGATAGCTGAAATTGAGCTCTATCAGCTGGTAAAGTGAATATTAAGATGTCTATACAGATAGCTGAAATTGAGCTCTATCAGCTGGTAAAGTTAATATTAAGATGACTATACAGATAGCTGTAATTGAGCTCTATCAGCTGGTAAAGTAAATATTTAGATGACTATACAGATAGCTGAAATTGAGCTCTATCAGCTGGTAAAGTAAATATTTAGATGTCTATACAGATAGCTGAAATTGAGCTCTATCAGCTGGTAAAGTTAATATTAAGATGACTATACAGATAGCTGTAATTGAGCTCTATCAGCTGGTAAAGTAAATATTTAGATGACTATACAGATAGCTGAAATTGAGCTCTATCAGCTGGTAAAGTTAATATTAAGATGACTATACAGATAGCTGAAATTGAGTTCTATCAGCTGGTAAAGTTAATATTTAGATGACTATACAGATAGCTGAAATTGAGCTCTATCAGCTGGTAAAGTTAATATTAAGATGACTATACAGATAGCTGAAATTGAGTTCTATCAGCTGGTAAAGTAAATATTTAGATGTCTATACAGATAGCTGAAATTGAGCTCTATCAGCTGGTAAAGTTAATATTTAGATGACTAAACAGATAGCTGAAATTGAGTTCTATCAGCTGGTAAAGTAAATATTTAGATGACTAAACAGATAGCTGAAATTGAGTTCTATCAGCTGGTAAAGTAAATATTAAGATGACTAAACAGATAGCTGAAATTGAGTTCTATCAGCTGGTAAAGTAAATATTAAGATGACTAAACAGATCACTGAAAATGAGCTCTATCATCTGGTAAAGTAAATATTAAGATGACTAAACAGATCACTGAAACTGAGCTTTATCAGCTGGTAAATTTAACATTTAAATGACTAAACAGATAGCTGAAATTGAGCTCTATCAACTGGTAAAGTAAATATTTAGATGACTAAACAGATAGCTGAAATTGAGCTCTATCAGCTGGTAAAGTAAATATTTAGATGACTAAACAGATAGCTGAAATTGAGTTCTATCAGCTGGTAAAGTAAATATTTAGATGACTAAACAGATAGCTGAAATTGAGCTCTATCAGCTGGTAAAGTAAATATTTAGATGACTAAACAGATAGCTGAAATTGAGTTCTATCAGCTGGTAAAGTAAATATTTAGATGACTAAACAGATAGCTGAAATTGAGCTCTATCAGCTGGTAAAGTAAATATTTAGATGACTCTACAGATAGCTGAAATTGAGCTCTATCAGCTGGTAAAGTAAATATTTAGATGACTATACAGATAGCTTAAATTGAATATTTTAAAAGCTATATTTAGACAACTACATCCCTTTAACTATCAACTATCTCAAACAAACATCTTATTTATAACTGACATTTTCACTTAAACTATTTAAAGTGGCAATGTCACATGAAAAAAAATGG